TTCTTCTAAATGGGTTGTTTTTCTATCTTTGTAAAGTCATAGTCATAAGTACCCTTTCAAGTATTCTTTGGAGAGAAGTTATTATCAGAGTCACTGTCCTGGATCCAATGGTGATTTGACAGGTAAAAGGTCGGATTATTGTTTCCATTTGTGTGGGTTACACACCACCTACATTCATCAGCATACTCCAATAAAAGTTTTGATCACAGCCCATATTTCAAAGGATTTTGGGATCCAACCAAAACACTACAGTTCTAAATGGGTTTAGAGTAGAAACAGATGAACATTTTAAAAAGACTTTTTTTCAGCAAAAATATGTCTAGAAATAAGCTCGGGAAACAAGTGATGTGGGAGCAGAAATCACATATGCTTCTTGGCACTCTGGCATCTAACTATAAGAAGTGCAGGAGCTACAATATGATAGTCATCCCACTGATCATCATTCTTCCATGGAGCCTTGTTCCTTGCTTATACACCAAATCACTAGGTAAAACCAATGCCTGTGATGTGGCTACCTCTTTGACCTTGAGGTATCTCTTTTCTCAGGACCTCTGTGCATCTCCCAGGGAAACTGTCACCTTTTCCTTTGTGCCCACCCCCCTAAGTTACAACACATATATGATCAACTCATTACCTATGTTTTTTTCCTGGCATGGCCATTAAAATGTACCTTGCAAACTGCCAACTATATGGGAAGATAATTGACCTATAGTTCCCACAAGTGCACTTTAAAATCCATTTTTGCACATGCACCAAAGCCATAGTTTTCATAGGTTGTTCCTGGCTAAAGACCCAGTGACTGAGTATGGCAGGGATACTAAGATAGATCCATTTTGGGGAATGATGAGACTCCTCTGACAAGCCATTTTGGCTCAAAAACTTCCTGAGGCGCTTGCTGAACATTTTACCCAGCCTCCCTTTCCTCTTATGCTTGGGTTCAGACTCACATTGCACTTCTAAAGCCCTCCAAACCTCTGACTCTCTCTCCATTTCTCTCACAGGAATTTTCCCCAGTAATATTCTTGCATTTTTAATCCTGTGTCAACATTTGCTTATAAGAAGACTGAAATTAATACATTGTTCTGACATTAAACTGTAAGCTCATGAAGAGTTTAGGTATCTTGTATACACAACTATAGTCTAACTTTATAGTGACTTCTCTGATATATAGTTAATGCACATAAGAATATTCTGAGTGAACAAATTCCAGAGCTATTTATTATCTATAAGGGAACAAAGCAAAATGAATCTTAAGGAAGGAAGGAAAAGGAGAACCACATGTTTATGGTGGTGATGATGATGATGATGACGATGATGATGATGATGACGATGATGATGATGATGATGTTAGGCTGTTGTTGAGGTTCTTTCTATCTATGTTCATTGGGGATATTAGAGATTTTCTAAATGCAGAACAACATATGAGCATGGTGGAAGCATGAAAACCAGCTAGGATATGATTGAATAGTTTAGACTAGAGATAATCTCAGACTAGGTGATTGCAGTGTAAGAGATAAGATGTAATCAGATGTGAGATTAATTGTGCAAGAAGAGGACAACAGGATTTGCTAAATGATTTGATACAGGTGTGAGAGAAAAATGGAAGCCAAAAATTAATCCAAGGTCTTTGATCTAAACACCTGGCATACTTGTATACATGTAATTCTAAGGGATACATGACCAGAAGCCAAGTTGGAACAATAGGCAAAATACATTTAAGAGTTATCAGTATATAGGCGATATTTCAAGCTACAGGACTAAATGAAATCACTTAGAGATTGAATGCAGAGAAAAATCCAACATTTACATGTTGAGAATGAGAGAAGAATGCACATAAAAAAATGATCAATAGATATGTAGGAGTACTCTACTGTGTATATATACCACATCTTTTCTATCCACCCATTTGTTGATGACTACTCCATAATTATGTACTAAGTAAGTGATTACTCTAGCTAAAATAAAAACAAACAAAAATCCCAAACTCAGGAAGAAGAAAGAGCAAAGGAGTATAAAATTTCAAGTCAAGCAAAGTATTTAAGAGGGAGGGAATATACAAGGATTCTGATTTCTCCACATCCTTGCCAAAATCAGTTATGCTTAGATTTTATTTTTTAATAACCATCTTAATGGTATGAAGTGCTATCTCATTGTAATTTTGATTTGCATTTTCCTGATGTAAATGATGTTGAGCATCTTTTCATATACTGGTTAACTATTTATAGATCTTTTTTGGAGTAATGTAAAATGGTACAGCAGCTATAGAAAAAAGTATCGGAGTTCCTCAAATAATTAAAAATAAAATTACCATATTATACAGTCATCCAACTTCTGTGTATATATGTATCCAAAATAATTGAAATCAGGATCTTGAAGAGATTTCTACATACCCTTGTTTGCTATAGTATTACTCACAATAGACAAGAGATGGAAGCAACTCAATTACCCAACAGATGAATAAATATAGAAAATATGGTATATAAATTCAAATACTGTTCAGCTTTAAAAAAAAAAAAAGGAAATCCTGTAATTTAATTTGTAACAACATGGATAAACCTGGAAGATTAAGTAAAGTAAGTTAAACAAACACCATATGATTCCACTGATAACATATTTAAATAGTCAAAATCATAGAAGTCGAGAATACAAAAGTGATTTTCAGGGAATGAGGGTGGAAGACATGGGAAGCATTCAATGGGTATGAAGTTTCAGTTATGCTAGATGAGTAAATTCTAGCAATTTGTTGTACAGCACAATGTTTACAGTTAGCAATATAGTATTATCCACTTCAAAATTTGGTAAGAAGGTAGATCTCATGCTAAATGTTCTTACCCACAAAATAAATAAACAAAAATAAAATACAAGGAAACGTGAGGTGTAGGCTATAGCTTGACCGTAGTGACATTATCATTTGCATATGTACAAGCTCATCCAATTGTACACATTAAGTGGAGTTTATTGCATATCAGACAAGCTTTAAAACTGACCCTTGAAAGCTGACCATTGATCTGAAGCATCTAGGAGGGAAGAGGGAACGAGAAGGAGAGGGGAAAATGCTGGGAATTGGAGTACAGCACAATAGACTGATGGAGGATTATTGGTGCTTTGGTGGTGGGAGAACTATGGAGACACCACATAAGAGGAGAAATCCTATATTGTGAAAAAATTAATAAGGATGTAAAATAATGGTACTTACAAAAACATAAAACAAGAAAAGAAAAAATATGAGGAAAAGAGATAGACATATAGTCCTATCTTTCAAAGTTTTTCTATATTAGGAGCCAGAGATTTGGGGCAGCAGCTGAAGGAAAATAGGAGATGAAGTCAACTTGCTTTTATTAAAACTGTAATACTGCATTCTATTTATAAGCTGATGGCAGTAAACTGGTAAGGATTGGAGAAGTGAGGGAACATTTTACAACAAACGTGTATGGTTGCATAGTGTTGAGATCTAGAACAAAATTGGCCTAAGTTGGAGGACAAATGTTCAACAGTTGGAAAAAGTACAGCATACAGATATGCTGTTCAGTGGGTAGAAAGATATTCTTAAGGGACTGCTTCCATTTCCTCAATAAAATAAAAAGGAAAATCCATTGATGGTTGGTAGATTCCTTTACCCTAATTTCATGTTTTTTTTTTTTTTTTTTAATTTTCTAGAGGCATGTCTTATTTATCTATTTGTTTGTTTGTTTGGTTTATACATGCACTGGGTACAGTCAGAAGCGCGGGAGGGTGAGAGAATTCACCAGAGCCACAGTGGGGAGCAGAGCAGGCAGAAGGACCGAAGTACACTGCTGAGGGGAGCAGCGGGCGGCAGGAGAGGTCTGCACGCCATGTGGGACCCTCCTCCGGTGGCCGGGGAGCAGCCGGGGAACGAACCGGCGCCGCAGAGGCCGCGGGCAGCTTCGCAACCCAGCGTTCAACCGCTGCGCCACCTGGGAGGCCCTACCCTAATTTCATGTTTAATACTCATGGCCTCATTCTGAGTTTTCATCCCCTCAAGCCTTTTTTGATTGGTAAATTTGGGAGGATGAAATGAAACTGTTCAGGAAAGTCCAATAGAAAGCATGCATTCCACTCTGGTCCTCTGAGCCATGCAATATTTAAGAAAATACTCTGTTTCTGGGAAGGAAATAGGCCTACCGCTTTCTAGGCAACCTAAGATTGAATGGGTTTCTCTACTAGAAAGTCCACTATCTGCATAAATATGTTGTATATTCTTTATCAGCACTATAGATGATATCTTGAACCTCCATCTGCTGACACTTAACGCCTTTCTGTCCAGAGATTTTGAACTTCAGGTGGGAAGGAAAAATAACATCTATTTAGACCTCTTAAGCCACTATAATCATCAACTAAGTGTGAGTAGGGTAGCAGGATTGTTAAAAGTTTGAAGAGAGAGAAAATGATGTAAAATTGTTCTCTGGAAGAATACAAGAGTAAATTAACTTCACAAATGTGGTATAGGCTCACCTGAGATTTGAAATAATTTAAGAAAAAAACAAAAATCATGGTTTTAAGGATTTTTCCTAAGTACATTTATATGCTCAGGTACAGTTGAAAAATGCATCCTGATGTAGTTAGTTTAACCAGAATTGGGTTTTTTTCTAGGAATTAAGATAGAGGTGGGGTGGAGGGATGATTATAAATATAAATCTTGTGCTCTAAGCTGGTAAGAGAAGAAATAAGGACACAAGTAGGACAACAGTACTGAAAAGACATTAGGGTCAATGTTTTGAATACCTAACGGTGGGGTCACACTGGGATGTGAAGAGGATGAGTTGAATAGATAAAGAAATGTTTGGATTCACATTTTTTATCTCTGAAAGGGATACCTTAATGGCACCTAGACTAGATGATTAGATATTTTGAGAAGAATGCAAATCAAAGAACAGATAGATAGGCCAGGGCATTGGAATATTAAATGTTGAAATCACTAAAAATAATGACAGTAGTTTTAAGTTTGTTGGAATATAAATGTTCTCTAAAATGTTTTTCAGCTCTCCATATGCTATATTTCTATTATTAAAACCTGTACAGGAACACTTTGCCTGATTGACTTATCATATACCATGAGACAAAAAGACATCCATCAACAGAACAAGGTCTACAGGCTATCACGTAAGTTGACCTGAAAAGTCAGTAGGCTGTCCTTATTTCCAAATCGTTGTTAAAGGCCATCACTCTGGATCTGTTACAAATTCAAATAAGTGTGGCTCCATGTAAAAGTTCTCAGTAACCTGAAAAAAAGCTGAGATGCTACTTGAGGTAAATGATATGGTGGTGTGTGACAAGTAATGGTTGCCAGGCATAGTTTCTTTTCTAATCTAAATGCCTTTCACAAGAGTTATTAATACTTCTTGATCAGCAGGTTCTTTCTGCCTATGCAATTATGTGCACAATCACCATAAGAGGACATAGTGTTATTAAGGTAAAAACAAGATCATACATTGGTTTTCCATGCTCTGTAGGCACACAGTAGGTATTCATTCCATAAATGTTTAATGATACGATAGGGTCATGTTCTCCACACTTGGAAATTATGCATCTTGTTGACCAATAATCAGACAGCAGACATTTTCTGAGCATCAAATGTATATACAGCATTAGGATGAGTCTTGAGTTCTGGTTAGATTGGTAAAAAAGAAGTAGACTCTCCAAAAATAAAATTTACCTAGGAGTCAAAATATATACATATACTTAAACACACACACACACTCTTCCAGAAACAGTATGACTGCATACTTAGTCATAGGCACAGACATGCACACATTACAGTCCACAAAAAGGAACAATACATGTACAGTACTCCAGTGTCATTGGTTAAGCTATCTTGTGAATGGACATTCCCTCAAGTTGTAAAACAGTATATGAATTCTTCTTGTCCATAAAATTACCAAAGCAAGATTAAAATGATGACATGGCTTCACATGTGACTTGATGATAGAAGATAATGTATAGCTGATACAACATGTGGACCTTCTATAAACTGCTTCTAGGGAGTCATTTCTCAAGTAAAATTAATAAGTTGTTATACTGATATCTACTTCGATCTCCTATACAAAATTTTAGCTATTAGGACCTGAATACTATCAAAAAGTTAATTAAATACCTTTAGATCTCTCTTTTTCTCTCTCTTAGTTTTATACTCACAAAGGTTCAGTCCTATAATACATATGGGGAAATTTAGCATGGGACTATCGGAACGAAAAGATGACATCATGGCATTCTTCCATATAAAATTCACAAGTAAAGGCTGATTAGTCACAGAACAATCCACACTCTAGACCAGGAAAGAATAACAAGTGACAACTCCTTCACAAAACTCTACCTGTCTTTCAAGAGTCACATCCATCCAAACAATCTGGCCTCAAGATCCTATTTGACTTCATATTGTGGAGATCACATGTTGAAAGAACACTGGATTATCAAAACTCTTAAATTTTAATTAAGACTCCACTGAAACTGATGCATTCTTAGTCAATTTTTCCTGTATCATGAACTAGTATAGAAATACATATACTCAAATAATGTCTTTAAGTATGGCTTTGTTTGGCATTGAAAATCAGGCAAAATGTATTTTAAAAACCAGATTTTAATAATAATTATCACTATAAAATAACATGCAATATGAAGAACACTTCTCTGTTATGAAAGCCCTTTCAAGATTAAATGTCAGATGAGATGATCCTCAACAAATCAGTGAGGTTGACAGGTCTGACAGACTATGCCCATTTTACAGATGAGGAAATAGGGTCATAATAATAAATCAACTTAAAAATTCAACTGAAAAAGTAACTCTGAGTCCCATATGGTTAGTTTCTTGATTCCTACTGGGTAGCACAGGCTTGGTTCTTAACATTATTGAGTGCCATGTCTGATGTGCTCTTCCACAGAGGCCGATTAAAACCAGTCCATTGATTTCACAGTCCTTGTAAACAGAGAATAAAATGGCAGGGGGCAATCTCCTAAAGAGAAGAAGAAGCGAATGGCACCTGCTGCTTGAAAAGAGAGCCTGATATTTGCCAGGAAAACTCAGGCACTGTCAAGATGGTGGGAGCCCAGGAAACAAGAAAAGGATTAATATTAACTGGAAATCAATTTTCCTGAAATGATAAATCTCTTTTCCAGAATTCTGGCCCTAGAGAAGGTTTGCATTGGGTTTCACATGGAGATCTTCAAACTGAACATGACAGAAGACTGATGTGCACAGAAATTATAAATGAAATTATATGTCTGAGAGGCCAAATGGCAGATTCTAGAAAAGTCAATGCATTTAGCAGGGAGGAGAGAAAAGACTTTGAAGCCAGGCATACTTGGGCTAGAATCCTGACTCTGTCACTCACTAGCTTTTTGTCTTTGAGCAAGACATTTAATACCCCTGCATAGTAGTTTTATCATCAATATAATGCAGTGTTATAATAAAATTAATATTCTCTGTAAAAGAGCAAAGCCTGGCAAAAATGTTAAGTATAATATTTTACTTAAATTTGCTCATTAATAGTTCCTAGCAACAATATAGTACCCTACATACATTGAAGACTTAGTTTTGGGCCTCCCCTGGTGGCACAGCGGTTGAGCACTGGGTTGCGCAGCAGTCGAGCGCTGGTTGACTGCAGCCTCTGCAGCGCCGGTTCGATCCCTGGCCGCCGGCGAGGGTCCCACATGGTGCGCAGACCTCTCCTTCCACCCACTGCTCCCCTCAGCAGTGAATTTCATCAGTCTGCCTGTTCTGTTCCCCGCTCTGACTCTGGTGAATTCTCTCACCCTCCCGCGCTTCTGACTATACCCAGCACTTGTATAAATAAATAAATATTTAAAAAAAAAAAACCTCTTTTATATAAAAAAGACTTAGTTCTACTAGTAATTTCCAATGAAAAATCCTTCTTGATGCTACATGTAGAATTCAAGTCACCCTCCTCTGAGTTCCTACCACCCTTGCACAGATTTCTTATCTTTTACTTCCCACTTCCTATGGTAATTATGACAACTTTGAATCTCTTACATGTATCATTGTATCTCTAGGACCTGGCACATATTATGTGCCCAGAAAATGTTGAGTAAATAAATGAATGTCTTTCCTAATAGAACAAGAAACTTTTCAAGAGCAGGAGCTAGGTCTTATTCTAATTTTAATGTTTATGCAAACAGGGACCCTGTCTGTTTTCTGTTTGTGGATTATTGCCAAAACACCAACAACTAGAATGGTTACTAGGGTTGAATGAGCTAAATCTGTACTTCTAGCAACCAGTCCAGTACCTGAAACAGAATGGAAGTTCAGTGAATGAATAACTGAATAAAAGCATACTTCCTTAATCGACCCTGTCACTAAGGTAGGCGAAGTTTCACCTGTTCAGGTTAACTGAAGAATGATCAGTTAACTGAAGGGTGATAAGTTATTAGTGGGTGAGTTTTGGTAAGAGATGGTATCAGGGATATACAGTTTCACCCAGATGAAGTCACATCTTGGATAATAGAGTTAGAATTATCTTTAAAGTCTATCCTGTCATCTTCATTGGTACAACTCCCTTAGAGGGGGTTTTATTTTTGTTGCCATAAGACTAAGATCAATGAATGTAAGTATATTTTATTGTTCAAAAATCGATCTTGCTGCAATATTGAGGATAGCTTGGAGGTAGAAAAAATGTGGACAATTGAGGAGACACCCAGTATAAGCCACCTGGAGAGTGAAGAGACTATTACAGTAGTTCAAAGAAAAAAAAAAGTAACTTGAGCAATGAAAATAGTAAGAAACATACAGATTCAAGAGGTATTTAGGAAACAAAATCAACAGAACATGGTGATGAGCTACATGTGGGGGTAAAGAATGGAATGGATGAGTAGTGTGTGTTTCATTATTGTCTGTCTCCCTGATTGGGAATGACTTCCTTTACAATAATAGTCTTACTTAGTTTGCTTTTGTGTTGCCAGTGCTTTACATTGAGCCTAGGACATAGCAGATGCTTGATCAGAGTTTTCTGAAATAATGAACAAATTGTTGTCTGGACAGGCAGAAAACAGGAGCAACATTAACAGATCAGTTATTAGCAGGGCAAGGCCATTACGTCTACAAATACCAAGCTGAAGCTTTTGGGAAGGACTAGCAGAAGCAAGGCAACACTAGCTAACAGGATAAGAGGTAAAGCATAAAGAAATAGCCAGACATGGGGATAAAGGCACGTCAATTTTGGGGACAGGACATGTAATGTAGTTAGGGTTATGATGAAGGCAATGCAGCAGTTATGAATTCAGATTCTGAGCCAGATTCCATGGATTCTAACCCTGATTCTACCTATTCTACCTGTATCACCTTTGCAGGGCACTTACTTAACATCTTTAAATCTTAGTATCCTTATAAAGTGAGAATAATAGTACCAATCTCATATAGAAGTTATTAGAATTATGATATAACATACTTACCAATGACTAGCAAAATGTCCTAATATCCAATAAAGATTAGTGATCAATCTGATATACAAGGTCGAAACAAAAAGAAAAATAACAGTAATACTAAGAACTATTAGTTATTAAATGTCTGCTATATGGTAGATTCTTTTTAACAACTATTTTAAGGATGGGGAGACTGACATTCACAGATGTTAAATAACTTGCCAGTAAGTGGTAGAAAATTTTAAAAATGTATCTATTTGAAGTTCAAGTCTCATATATTTTCCTATTTACTAAACTATTTGAATTGGGGCTCCAATTATATTATTTCCAGTGGAAAAGACAGGAATCAGATTTCCCAGGTAAAGGTACTGAGACCTGGGATTTGGAGAGGCATTAAGGAGCCAGACAAAACCTGGGGCCCTGCAGAGAGGCACCCAAGTATCCACACATTCCATGAACCAACAATAGCATGAGCCACATACATGAGACATGCACTCCATAATTCATTCTGGATAATGGATAATTATAGGAGGTTGTCAGATTCAATAGGCAAATGCTAGGGAAATAAAAACAACAAATTATGTGAGAGCTGATATTTGTTCAAGCAGACATCTGTCTTCTGTTAGAGGATTTAGGGATGTTTTTCAACACAAGGTTTTAAATATGGCTTGGAAAAACCTCTCCTCAGCATGGTTTACAGGATAGAGCCAAATGCATGCTTTCAGTGGGTC